ATTAAATATTTAGTTAAGATTTTTTTTTTGTTAACCAAAGTTATATTTTAATATATTATATTTAAGGGTATTTTCAGATAGTTATTTCTGCTGCAATCTGAAAATTAAAATTAAATAATAATATTAGTTCTATCCATATAATCAAAAATTTGATACTTAGACCCAAAATAATGATATTATAAAAATATTTAGAATAATTTCCTAAATTATACATTATATTAATTGAGAAGGCTACTATAAATATATTAGTGAAATTTGTATATATTTTGTATGTAAATCAATATAACTAATCCACATATTTGATCTTTGGGAATTCATTTATTACCAATTATTTATGGTAAATTTTTTAGAAACTCAAAAATTTTATAATCTTTATCAACAAACTATTTAAATATATACTTTCATATTAATAAATGAAATAATATATAGAAGTTATAATAATTTAAATTGTGCCATGAGCATTTTTTTCAAAAGATCAAAAATAATTTTTATTGTAAATATCTTTAGAACATTTTGTAAAATATTTTAGATAATAAACACTATAAAGCTGCAAAATACAACATAATAGTTTGATTTTTAAATCAAATATGATTAAGTTATATTATATTAATATTAAGCATTATAAAACTATAGATATGTGTGTTGAAAAGAAACAAAACATTATTTTCGTTTATAATTATATTAGATGTAAAATTTTGAGTAAAAAAAAATAATTTTGAGCAGTTTAAAATTTATAATAATAATCAAATTAGAGAATTCTAATTTTTTGTATATGATATAGATTTAATTTTAACACCATAATTTCTCCTACATATTAACAGATATTTTGCTTAGCCAATCAGGTATTTTTTTAACTTAAGAAATCTTAGGGAAATTCTATTTTTTTAGATATTTCTATTTTTCAACAATTTTTTAAATATTTAATACTTTAAAACCCAAGGGTAATTTGTAATAATTTTATCTTTAATTTTGTCAAATAATAAAGTATTTTCTTCAATAAAAGAAGATACCAATTCTTAGAAAATTCTTGATAAATACTGTAAATTAAGAACAAGGAGAATAATGAAATAAGGAATTTAGATTTCCATAGCTTAACTATTTTAATCAATAAATATTCCAATTCCAACTGCAATTGATATTCCACATATATTTGCTGAATATGCATCTAATTTATTTAATATAAATGATTAATAAGGTTTCTATTTTTAACTTAATTACCAATATATATAAACTAATGATAACAAAAGAATTCCTTTTTTAACAATATTTTCATCATAATAAGAAAGGAAGATAATCATTAATTCTTTGAAAAGTATTTTAGTTATTTCCCAATAATAAGCTTCTAATTTATATTCATTATATAAATATCCCCATTTTTATCTTGTACTTTTTTCATGTAATATTTATTAATTTAAGTACAAAGAAATAAAGAAATAGAATGGTATAATAACAGCAATTACAATAAGAAGTGGTAATATAAATCTTAATAACCATAATTAATGAGTTAGAGTATCATATCTATAGGCAACATTAGCTTATATCCAATTAAATCCAGAAATTGATCTATATGATATTAAACTAATCAATCCACCTACCAAGGATGGTTAGAGGTAAATGTACATATATATTAATGTTGTAGTTATTGCAGCTAAACGATAATGAGCATCATATATTTTCAATACAATCCAATAACATAAGAAAAATAAACCAATATATATGAATGGCATAATAAATTACCAAACAATAGTAGAATAATGTATTTGAAAATCGAATAAATCTTTTAGGAAACAATCAAGAGAATGAGTAATAGTTTAAATTGGATTGGCAATAGCAACAAAAATTTCGCCAATACCAATTATATTTGAAATTTTAAAAGTAAAAATAACAGATACAATTTGCAAATGATGAGTAATCATTTTAATCAAGATACCAAAATTAGAATGATATTCTATTTTAGATAAAATTAGTCTTGAAATTACTTTTTTAAGTACCATTTATTCATTTAATGATACATTACTCCTTACAGATATTAATATAGAAATAAAAGTCCTAAATAAATAAAAATAATCATTTACCATAAACTGATTGCAATAATAGCAATAAGATTTTAATTATTGTTAATACAAAGGCCACAAGAATATTTTGAACTTATTGAAAAATGTCCCTATCCTCTTGAATTATAAATATCGCATTCTTCACATAGTGCTCCAATATGGCCTGTGTAGCAAGATATATCTCCTTCAATCCATCCACCATTGCAATTACTTAGTAAATTGATACATTAACTTATAGAATTAGTATCAAAATAAGGTCTCCAAAATCCGGATTTAAGTTTTATTTATGCTGATTTAATTTCACTAGTTGAAATATCATCTTTTTAAGAGCAGTTATTTGAATTAATAACTAATGAATATAAACCTTATGTAGCATTACAAGGTAAACAAATACCATCATAAATTATTTCTCCTAGTTAACAAGGCAATGATTTTATATTCATTCTTAAGAAATAATTATTGTGATATCCAAAAATTTCTTTATTTTTTCCATATATAGGCGTGAATATAGAATCACAATGAAATTATAATTATAATGTGATATTATTCTGTTAATTATCTAAATAAAAGGTCGTATTATCAAAACTATAATCAGTTTAATTGAATATGGCTTAATAAGGACTCATAAAATCTTATCTAAAATCTGAATCATCATTATCAATAAGTATCCTACCACTTATTGTACATTTACTACCATCTAATTTTTCTTAAACATTGTTTTATTAATCTAAGGCAAATAATCTCAAATGAAGATTATATTCAATATATTACTATTTCTATATATCAAAATATTAATATTCTGACATAATCTATCCATTCGGAACATATAATGAACCAGAATAAGTATTATAAAACAGTTAATATTTTGGAATCTGAATTTATTCTATCAAAATATTTTCTTTCTCTAATATTTTTATTTTTGGCAATATATGTTCTAAATCAATTGAAATTGATAATTAAGATGGAAGTTAAGCATAATCATCACCGAAAAGAGTTCCTTTATTATCATTTATTAGTGTTCCTTATTAATTTAAATTTTAAATTATTTAATCTTTTAGAAATACTCCCCCACCATATTCAGCTTTATTAAATTTAATGACAGTATTTAATACAAAAAAACTTGAATTACCTATCACATATATTGATCCCCCCTATGATTCAGCACTATTATTTTACAATATAGAATCTTCAATTATTGTTGTTATATCTTATATTTAAAGACAAGTACCTTGATAAGCATAATTTCCAATACATTTATATTTTAGTAATTTAAATTCATAATTTTTTTCATTAATATGTTAAATTAATGATTACAAAATTCTAGATGCTTGAATAGATTTCTTAATATTCAAACAACTTGTTGAGCCACATTAATTATTAAAGAATATAATTGAATTCATTGTTATTCTAGTTGATTAATCTTATATGTTTATGTCAAGTAACCCTTATTTACATATTTTACAATTGATATTTTTTATATTTAATTCTGAAATTTATATCTATGTTGAGTATGGATTAATATTGATAAGCCCTGTTATTGATTGCTTTTGAATATTCATTTTATTAATAATACAATAACCATTTAATAAATGATCTTTAACAAACTTAGATATTAACATTTTAGGGGAATCTTAAAGACTTAAATTATCTGAGCATTTTTATTGTAGCTCTTAATCATTTTTTTAAATGGAGGTACATTTATCTCCACTAAATATTTGATCAAATAATTCTATATTAGAAACTTAAAAACCCACAATTTTTATAAGAGAATTTTCTTACATTTAATTTAATTCAAGAAGGGAATTTTGTAATGTAGAATTTAAAATTTTGCAATTTAGGATTTCTAATTTTAATGTCTATTAAAAAATAGCAAAAGCCTCATATAATAATGAAATAACACGTAAATTCTTTATACTTATTAATTTTGAATAAGTAATTTCTATGAGGCTTCTCTCAAGTTTTAATTCAGATAATAATTATTAATTTGTTTAATTAAAATTACTTATAAAACTTAAATAACCTTAATAGGTATTTTTAATTTCCAAGTTTTCCAAAATAAGTTATTATTTAGAATTAGTATAAGATGAAAATTCAACATAAATTAAAGATCCTTTTAAAGAATACACATCATTAATTATTAGATTTTCTAGTTAAATAGTTGTGCTCTCTAAAGGATTTTACAGATAAATAAATCCACCTTTATTTCTGTTTATAATATTAGTTGCTATTATATTTAAAAATTATATTTTTGTAGAAACAGAAATAGAAGTATCAATCAAGAATGCTCCACCATTTTCATCTTCACTTATAAATAATGCACTAATAAATTTTATGATTACATCCTATATTAATAGAGAAGAATCTTTTTCTAAATAAATTTAAAATCCTGAACTGGTTGAATTATAAATAAAGATATTTTTCATCATTAATTATTGACATATTATTTTGCCATTTCCTGTTTTAACTTTTATTGGGAATTTTTCAATTATTTATTCTATAAAAATATTTTAATCGTTCTCAAACCCCCAATATAAATATGGTTATAAAAGGGAATAATCAAATAAACTATTTTAAATAAAAGTGCAATTTTTTATTTCTATACTTTTTGTTTGTATGTAAATAATGCTATTAGAAGAGTTTGTAACAATATTTCCTTTAATTTTTAAATTATCTAATAGAATTGTACAATCCTTACAATCAAAAAAGAAAATTGATCCAGAATTGATTTGATCTATGTATATATATTAATGCATCAAATTTCTTTCAAATTATGAATTTTTGATTTCTATTTGATAATCTTCTTCAGATAATATTTTCATTATTGAATTTAACTTAAATTTATTAGTAGTCAAAAGTAAATTTTCATAGAATTGCATATCAGACATAAAAATAAGTTTCTTTATTTAAGATTTAAGAATTGAACTTTTTATTTCAATTATAGGGTTATTAATTGATTAGGCTTTTTAAATGACTAAATATTTTATATCAATCATAGGAACATCTATGATTTTCATATAAAGACTATCATAATGATTAACAAGAAATTTCTAAAAGCAATCCAAATTTTAAAAAAGCCTTTTAGATATTTAATTATTATGTTGTTATATTCTTATTTAATTTAATTTTAATTCATTAGCATTAATAATTAATAAATCATGTATCCCATATGCTTTTTGAATTATTAATTGTTCTATTTTTATAGTATTTATTTCTAAATAAATTAAAGCTTCATTTAAAAGAGAAAATGTTGATTATACAGGTAATGATAATAATTTGTTATCTATCATCGATAATTAATTTATAATCATTTATTTATTAGAAAATATGTGGGGAGTGATTTTAATGAAGCTAGCATTTTAGTTATATTAATTTAATTCAAATTTAATCTCCTACATTAAAATATATTCAATGTTAGATTTTTCATTTTATATAATTAATGAATTGTTGTAGAGATAATTTTCAACAAAGTTTAATTTTATCATTTTAATTTATTAATTGACACTTATTATGCTGCCTCTATAAACTTAATTTTTTAAAAAATTTAATGAGAATAATTCAAAATCTTGCAAGGTATTAATTTCAAATAATCCATTTAAAGAGTATATTTAACATGAATAAATATTTATTTAATTAATTTTTAATAAGCCATTTGTTTAATATATAAATGCTAAATCAAAATTAGTTGATTCAATATTTACATTTTAAATTTCAACCTAATCATTTAACTTGAGGTCAAACCAAAATAATTTTACATTTGAAAATGAACTATTAATTATTTTTAAATTTTATATCTTGATTGTCTGCATAGTATTAATTTATTATATCTTAATAAAAGCATCAATAGGATATTTTCTCGTGCAATTTTTTACCAAAAAGTTCTTTATAAAGACATTTTTTGCATTTTCCATAATGGTATAGAAAGTAGTTAAATTAAAGTTTTATTAATAAACTACATCAACTAATTCAATAGTTTATTCAAAAACACTTGAAAACTTTAGTAAATTTGGACCAAAACTAAAGTACTCTACTTCAAGTTAAACTCCTTCAATATGTATTTTTCTAAAATTGGAAAAAAATAGTTATTTTTAAAATTAAAAAGATGTAATATTATTACCATAAATTTCGAGTTCTACATTTCTAATTTATAAAATTATTTAATTACATAGTTGAAAAAATATTTGTACTAAAGTTCTGTTAAATTTTTAATTAATCATTTACTAAGCATCTTTAATTTTTTTGACCAAAAATCTTTATTAAGATTTTTTTGATTGATTATTAATTAGCAAAAGTATAAAATTGGTTTGTCTCAAACTATAATTAGAGATTGAAATATTACTTAAAAAAAGCTTTGGGATGAAAATAAATGATCACTTAAAATATTTGATTCTCTGAACTAAGTTTTTTCATGTTCTGTTTTTAATTAATCAATTTATTATTAATATTCATTTAGATTACAAATTAAATTTAAATTTATTTCTATTTATTTAAAGCAAGTACCATTTTCACAATCTATATAAATACCTAAATCTTAATCTAAAACTCCTTTAAATCCTGAAATGCATTGATATGAATAATGATGAAATTCTGAATTAATATTAAATAGTGGATTGATTGATAGTAGTTCTTTTTCATCTCTTTAAATACAAAAATTACAATTAGTTGGACAACTAATACATTAATTATTTATTAAACTACGATTTCTTCCATTTTGACTTTTAGGACATTTTACACAAATATTTTTAGAATTCAATAAAACACATTCTAAACATGATTCAGGACAGCTTTATATACATTAATTTCCAAGTAGTTCATATCCTGATTTACATACATTACAGAGAATTTCATAATCAGAATCATCTTAACTTAGTCCATATTAAGTAAATTTATGCATATTTACTTCTGACTCAACAACTGCTCTATAATAAGGACGTATTGCAATTTTCCAATTATCTTTAGTAAATTTATTTTATTAATAGCAACTCAAACAATTTAAATTTGATGGACATAATTAACATTAACCTGTTTTTTTTTCTGCATAATACCCATTCTCACAAACAAGACATACATGTGAAACTTTATCAAATACTAGATGCGCTTCATTAGTACATTAATCTACTCGTATATAAGTAGATAATTATTCAATCACACAAAGTACACAATGTAATTTCATATTTGGGCATTTATCTGAAAAAGAATAAACAACATCTTCTTATTAATAAGGACCAAATAAACAATATTAATTAGTATATATATCACCACCAGGTCTTTCATAAAACTATGAGCATATATTATATCTTCCTTCATGACATTTTACTTATTGTTTTTTTGGTTGATCTTTTGGTTAATCTTTTGGTTAATCTATTGGTTGATCTTTTGGTTAATCTATTGGTTAATCTTTTGGTTAATCTATTGGTTGATCTTTTGGTTAATCTATTGGTTGATCTTTTGGTTAATCTATTGGTTAATCTATTGGATAATCTTTTGGATATTCTTTTGGATAATCTATTGGTTAATCTATTGGATAATCTTTTGGTTAATCTATTGGATAATCTTTTGGTTGATCTATTGGGTAATCTTTTGGTTGATCTATTGGATAATCTGTTGGTTGATCTTTTGGTTAAACTGTTTATTCATTTAATAAAAAAAAATAATAGCCATCTTTACATCTTCCACATTAAGTAGTTGTTTAATTTTCATATGGCTTGAAATCATAGTCTAAAGAATTAATTGTGTAATTTGAATTAGAAGTTTCAAATGCATAAATACAATTTTCTATTATATTTCTCTTACAATCATAACCATTTAATGATAAATAATATAATTAATTATCAAGACAAGTTTAACATTACATTATTTTATATTTCTCTGAATATTTACAAGTTTTACAAAACTCACCACAGTTTGTACATTAACCATTTTTTAGTCCAAAACCCATTTAACAATTTAAACAAATTGTTAAACTTTAACAATTTAAACAATATTTAGGGCATTTCAAACAAGATTTATAATCTTCGGATACATAATAACCACTCTAACATTCAAGACATTTTTATTCATTTTAATTTACATTAATACAAAATATATCTAATAATTTACAACTTTTGTTTGTATAATAAAGATTTTTCTTACATAATCCAAAAACAAAATTTTATAAATGTTATACTCCTAATTCATAACAATTTTCTGATTAAATTTAAGTAATATCACAAAAATCATAAACACCATCTAATAATATTAAATTATAATTATTATCTATGTAATACAAATCATAATCTTAAGTAGATCTTATTTATTATGTATATGCATCTTAATCTTATGTAACTTATTGTGTTATAAAATCAGTTTTACATATAGGTCTTTTATACCAACCTGTTTAATCTAATATACAATCTACACAAAATAAATTATATGAATTCTATTATGGACTAAATAGTTTAAGAAAAATGATTACCATTTTATACATTATTAAATTATAGGAATATAAAAATATCCAAACAGACATTAAGATTTTTTTAATTCTTCTTTTATTTCTACTAAACTTATTGTTTTATATATATCATTAAATTAGTAGCATCCTTAATTCTTTTCTATTTATCCAAGTCGACATGCACATTATTGTAAATCGTCCAAAAATATTCTTTCATCATAACAAGATTAACAATTTGTATTTAATGGACCATTACAAGTTTAACAAGTTTTATGACAAGCTAAAAATATTGTATATTTATACTAAATTAAATATTTAAATCATTTTAATAATTTGAAACGAAATAAAATCCTGATAATTATCCTAAAGTCTTTTCATAAATAGTATAATCACCACCAAAAATAGCATAAAATTTAGTATTTATAAATAATCCTTTATATATTTCATCTCCTAAATAATAAGTATTAGATATCAATTCTTAATTTTCAAAATAACTTAATATAAATTATGTTTTATATTTTTTTTCGATAATCCCATATTCAAAAGAAATAAAATGCCATTTAGCTAATAATTTTTAATATGGTAAATCTTCTCTTAATGTGATTTTATCATTCATTGCTTCTGCTTATATTCGATTAGGATATGGCATTGAATAATGATGAGATGTAATATCATATCCACAATTATAACTGTCTAATAAATCAATATTTGCTACAATTTTTAATACTTCATCACCAATATCAATTTCATTTTAATAATTTTTAAAAATTGTTAATCTAACTAATAAATACTATTTTAATGAATAAGCATTATAAAAATAATATTTAGCCCAACCAAAAATACTAAATTTTCTACCAAATTAATCAAATTCAAATTCTTTTTAAATTATACCATCAAAATTGAGAAGATCAGGAATTAAACTAATTTTTTAATTAATTTCATTAATTCTTAACTCACTAATTCTTTCATTAAATATCTCTTCAAATTATAAATCTAAATGATGAATAAAAAGTTTTGATAATCTTCCTTTAAATATTCCGACTTAATATCCATTAATCTAAAATAATTAAATATTGAATTACCATTCCTGATCCTCCAATATAAATTTATAATTTATTTAAATTTTATTTTAAATTAAATTCAAATTTAATCTCTCTCATTGAACCTGAAGCTTGATAATTCATTTTCTATTCATATAGAGTTATTAAATTTAATATCCATTTTCCTTCATATTCACTGGGATCATAAACTACATCAATAATTTAATCATTAACATGCAAATTATGTATTACATAATTAGTAATTATAAAATTTGCATACATAAATAAAAACACTTAATTCTCCAATGAATTTTTAATTAAAATTAATAACTATTGTTTATCAGAATCAAAATCTAATTATTATTCTACCCAAGGGAATGATATCACTTTCTATTGCGGAATTTAAATACTCCAAAATTCAAATTGAATCGGATAATTTATGATTTCTATTATCGTTTATTCCATTGGGTCTGCATTATTAATTAATAACTCTTCATTAAATTAAGTGCAATAAGCTAAACATAACATTATAGTCATATATAGAAATGACTTTTAAATCTGAATATCTTTAATCATAATATATAGTATATGATTTATTATTAATTTTAATAAATAAATAAATCATCATTTAGTTGCTTATAAACTCAAATTTTTATTTAAACTGAAGATATTATTAGAAATTATATTATATTAATTGTTAATAATCTCAAGTTTAATAATTGGCAATAAACCATCAAGATTAATATTTTATTTTGATAATAAGAAGTTCGTTATTTTATTTTTCATTCTTAAATATATTAATAAAACTATGATAGTCTGCCTCTTAAGGATTTGATATTTTATAAACTTTGATGTTCTACTCTTTATTTTCTAAATAATTAAATATAGCAAGTACAAAGCATAAGTATTAATGGAACTAAAAACATTAACTGTTTTTCATTTAAATTTGTCTAATTCATAGTCTCATAANTATCTCTTCAAATTATAAATCTAAATGATGAATAAAAAGTTTTGATAATCTTCCTTTAAATATTCCGACTTAATATCCATTAATCTAAAATAATTAAATATTGAATTACCATTCCTGATCCTCCAATATAAATTTATAATTTATTTAAATTTTATTTTAAATTAAATTCAAATTTAATCTCTCTCATTGAACCTGAAGCTTGATAATTCATTTTCTATTCATATAGAGTTATTAAATTTAATATCCATTTTCCTTCATATTCACTGGGATCATAAACTACATCAATAATTTAATCATTAACATGCAAATTATGTATTACATAATTAGTAATTATAAAATTTGCATACATAAATAAAAACACTTAATTCTCCAATGAATTTTTAATTAAAATTAATAACTATTGTTTATCAGAATCAAAATCTAATTATTATTCTACCCAAGGGAATGATATCACTTTCTATTGCGGAATTTAAATACTCCAAAATTCAAATTGAATCGGATAATTTATGATTTCTATTATCGTTTATTCCATTGGGTCTGCATTATTAATTAATAACTCTTCATTAAATTAAGTGCAATAAGCTAAACATAACATTATAGTCATATATAGAAATGACTTTTAAATCTGAATATCTTTAATCATAATATATAGTATATGATTTATTATTAATTTTAATAAATAAATAAATCATCATTTAGTTGCTTATAAACTCAAATTTTTATTTAAACTGAAGATATTATTAGAAATTATATTATATTAATTGTTAATAATCTCAAGTTTAATAATTGGCAATAAACCATCAAGATTAATATTTTATTTTGATAATAAGAAGTTCGTTATTTTATTTTTCATTCTTAAATATATTAATAAAACTATGATAGTCTGCCTCTTAAGGATTTGATATTTTATAAACTTTGATGTTCTACTCTTTATTTTCTAAATAATTAAATATAGCAAGTACAAAGCATAAGTATTAATGGAACTAAAAACATTAACTGTTTTTCATTTAAATTTGTCTAATTCATAGTCTCATAATATCTAACAATATTAAGAGTAAATACTACCCAGATGATCCTCTATAAAAGAAAAAAATAGATCTATTTAGTATTCAAAATCTTCTTGATATATTAATCCAAATAATTATTCTAATACATGGATCCTGTTTTTTTAACTTACATATTTCAGACTGTTAAATTTCTACTTAATACAATGTTAATCTCAAATATTTTAAACAATTTATGAATCATCTAGTTTTTCTTTTACTGAATAACTATATTCATAATAACTAAAAATAACATATTTATTTACATAATTTAAAAACTTAAAAGTTTTCTTCTTAAGATGTAAAAACATAATCTTTGAAAGAAGTATGAAAATTTATATCGAATTATTAAATAGCACTCAAAATTATTTATTAAATTGTATAAATTATTCGATTGAGATTAGATTAGCAACATTAATATTTTTGCAGGATTCTCTAATAAAATACTTAATAAATGGTTCAGATGGCTTGCTAACTTATTTTATATTCACTATACTCAAATTGAAAAAAACATAAATAAAATCTATTAAGTTTTGTTTCTTTTCTTTCATCAAATAAATATCAAGATAAATATTAATATTAAAACACTAATATTGTAATTAAACAATCTATCAATTTTATATTAATAAAAAAAAAAAAGTCAGTATTTTTTAAATATATTCGATATCAATTCAAATAAGACAATAAATAATCTCATTTATTTGAGCAAAGGACTATTTTTTAAGAACAAATTTTGAATAAAGATTAATTGATTGAAGCAACGGAATAAATGTTATTATTTTTATACTACCTAATTAAAAATATCAATTTTTTTTTTAATATTTTTTATATTTTGCCTTATAAACTATATTTATATATATTTAAAATTAATGTAAAATCTGTTAAATTTTAAATAATAATTCTAAACAATTTAAAAAATAACATGAGCATATGTTAAAATGCTTAACAGAAAATATAAATAATACCAATCTTATTTCATCCTAAATAATGTTTTAAAGAAAAATTGAATTAGATATTTAAAAAATAACATCAAGATGCTAGATATAAACACTTAAGTAATGATCTTCCTGCTATTTTTGAATTAAAGAAATTTATAAATAGAAAAAATTTACTAATATTAAATTTTTCTTTGTAAAATAATTGAGAAAGAAGATCATCAAATAAAATTAATTTTTACTTTTGATACATCTTAATTTCATATTCTATTAATTAAATAAACTCTAAAATTTCATTAAATATTCCTAAATTTTAATGATATAAAATCTAAGAATTTGTAATTTTTTAATTAAAACTCTATATTTAGGTAGTATTTTCAATTTCATATTTCATCTAAAAAATAAATATGAACTCAAATTTACTTAATCAACAATTTTAAAGGATCACTTTAGGTTATTATTTATTGCTCATTTATATAATCTACTAGTTTAATGATAAAGTAAACCATTAGTTACTTTTTGATTTGTAAGATTTTTATGATAATTTTGAATCTTTTCTCCTAATTAATGACTTGCTGTTAATATTTGAATTTCGAATTAAATTATTTTTAAATGATAAATTATAATCTTGATATTTCATAGATTATGTTATTTAGTTTGCATGTTTATCTCATCTTTTTATTTAAAGATTAATAAATAAAGATCAAATTTTATTTTAATTATAAACTTTTTTTTTCCATAATAGGTTTTTTAATAAAATTAAATTGATTTTAAACTTTTTAAATCTGAATAATAAATAGCTATCATATTGTAAAGTAATTCATTTTCTAGTAATTAATTATAATAAAATAAAGCTAAATATTTCAATGAAAATATAGATCTTACTTAAGCTAGAATTATCCTAATTCAGACATTGTAACTTCTTCAAATAATGAAACGTTATCTATTCAAAATATTTAGCAACCCTGATTATATAAATTTAAAGGTGTTTCAGACAGGTAATTAAAAACTCTTTTAACAAAAGGAATTTTCAATTTATTAATAGATGATTTCCTAATTGTTTAATAAAATACATCTTTAATATTTATTAAATTAAATTCCATCATCAATTATAGTTTCTTACTATTTTAAAATAATTTATTAATGTATTACATTATTTTTATCAAAACTAATATTAAACTTAATTTGGTTATCTTAATCTAATACTTTGATAAATATTCTTTTATTAATGTTCTTCTTGAATAAAATAGCCACCATTCAATAATGATAAATTTGAAGATAAAATTATTGTTAATTAATTTATATTTATATTTATATTTGATTATTTGACTCAATTTCAAATTTAATATAGATTTTTGTAATAGACTATAAAAAATCAAATATATTATCTATCATAATTTAGTATAGTTTAATATGTTTAATTTATTTGAATTTTTTTATTTCCAATACTATTAAACATTGTTTCATTATTGAATGTTCTTTATCAATACATCTAAATTATTTAATACCAAAGATGGATTTTTTACAGTTATAAGATAAGGAGATTATGCAATATTAAATAAAGATATAAGTTCTGTTATTATTATTGTAGATAAAAAAGAAGTGAAAATGTTGTTAGTTATTCTAAATGGATCAATACCATTTATTAGATCTTTAAGTTCTATCTCAATTAAAGGTTCGATGTAACTTATTTTTTTTATTTCGAACTTACAGTTGGTAAAAGCAAATTATTACTCACTAAATCAGAATATATAATAAATATATTAAACTTTGACTTTCTAATTGAACCAAATAGTGAATATTATTTTTAATCAACATTTCGATATAATTCAAGAAATTGGTTAGTACCATCCCTTTTTTGTTATTATTCTATTTAGTATTAAATCTATAATATTATTCATCAATCTATCTGAACAATAATTTTAATGAATCCATAAGCTTCATATTATAATCATTATAATCATTATAATCAAATAAAAAATATTAATGATTAATATAATGAAAACAATAATTATTTATATATTCATGAAATGGTTAAAATTAGATAAATTTATTTTTATATAACAAGACAATAGAAAGTTTTTTGTTTTCTTTTCGACTTGTTATTCTAATACTTAAAATTTAGTCTTTAAAATTATATAAATTAAAAATAATGAAAAATTATACTAATTGTTATGTTTAATTCACTTAAAATTAATTTCAAATATGATATTTTTTAATTATAAATACAAGAAATTTAATTTGATTGAATTAAGGATCATTTTATTGAAATTTTATAATTAGATTTAAATAAATAGACATTATGATTATGTTATTATTCTGTATATTAAAACTTGTAATATATCAAATTTATATTTTTTTAGATGATTCATTCATGAGTGACCAACATTTACAATTGACAACATAAATTAATTCTTAAGTTATCAAATCATTTAATTAACACTTGCCACACCATAAAGCAATTTATTCAGTTGAAGTTTGTGTTGATATGGGATTATTTATTTGAACACTTTTTTCTAACTTTTGTTAATCTCAAATAAAAAATATCAAATACTAATTTATGCTAACTGCAATTAATTGTTTTTTACAGATTAGAATTGATTTTTTGAATAATAATTGTCTGATTATTGATTTATGGTAAAGTTTTAATCAATCTAAGTTAATCTTACTTGTTTACAAACTTTCATCAATTATTGAAAAGAATCAAATAATTTACTTAAAATGCTTTGGTATAATAATAAGAATCTCAGATTTTCTTTAAGGATAATTTAATCTTTTTTTTATTCTTGATTACTTTTCTCGTAATTTAAATTCTGTCCTTGTTTTTCAGATATTTTAATGACATTTATTAATTTGTTTAATACAGTTTTGACTAAATTTTAGCAATGTTAATATTCTAATTCAATTTAATCATCAAAATCGATTAAATCTTATTATTTATTTTTTACTATTTGAATTACTTTTTGAATTTTTTATTATAATTAATCAACAAAACTTGGAATTTATTTTTCTTAATTCTTAATTTCATGAAATTAAATTTAAAAAATTGAATTAATTTATTTAAGTTTAGATTCATTTTTTGTAAGTGATTGAAAAGTCTCTTTTAATATATTTTAAAAGTGTGTTTAATTGATTTCTTAAGTTTCAAGAAACAGTTTTTCTTGCTCTTATAATATTTTTTCTAATTTTTATTTATCTTCTGTATTTTTCTATAATTGTGAATCTTTTTTTTATAATAATTATAAACTTTAGATTTCAATTTCTTTGGTCTTCTCTAATTAATGAATCTTGTTATCTTTCTCTAACCTAATCTAAAATTTTGTTTAATTACATCAATTAGTGCATTTGCTTGATTTTTTTAATATAATTTATTTTTAGTTATTATAATTCTTCATTAATAATTAATTATTACCTTATTTTCTTTTATTTTCAATTAATTCTATCATTTATTTTAATTAATCTATTGTTACACCTTAATCTTTTAATTTTTATTAAAATGTTTGGTTTTCTTATTTTAAACTAGAAATTTCATTTTAATATTTATCAATCATGTTAAATTCAATATCCATCCGTTAAAAGTTTTCATCTTCAATCAAACTCTTTTGAAGAAAAAAACCAATACTTCCTTATGAAGTATTTTTGTTATGATATTTTTCTAATTTATTTCTTTTTTCAACACTCTTTAAATAAATTAATGGTTATGGTTTATTTGCTGTTAAAATTTCAGTTTTATTTTTTGGAGAATTAGGTAATTGATGTTGTGAACGCTTCTTTAAGTACTAATTTATTAATAAATAAGCCATGCTTCACTTTATTTTTATAAAAAATTTTAATTAAATTAATCATCTTCTAACAATATATTCTACTTAATCATCTTATTAAAGGCTAATATATTATTTAATACATATTTTTTGTTTTATAATTCTAAAAAAGTTCATCTGTGAAAAAAATATTAAGTAATTATGATAGCATGAATATGTATTACTTTAATAATATAGCATTTATATATAAATTACATTATTTTAATTTATTTATCTCCAAACCAAATATTTTTATATTTTGGGTTACCCTTAAATAATTTCTATTATTTTTCATGTTATGAAAATCTAAAGCTTTCTTAACAAATATTAGCCTGTGAATTTTCACTTTCGATTATCTATTATTTTTATCATATTCTATTTAATTGTTATTAATTGTTAGAAAAAAATTAATAGCTGATGATTTGTGCTTAAGTGTTTGCCCAGAAAATACTGTTTAACAATAAAAGTTATTTATTTAAATATCAATTTAATGTTATGACAATGGATGATAATTTAGAACAAGTAAAGAATTTTATGATTTATTAACGACTTAATAAAAAATATAAGAATTATTTACATTGATGCCTCTTGATACTCAAAAATTAATTAATATCATTATTAAAAAGGAAATGAAATATACTATTCATATTTACAAAAAAAAAATATTAGGAGGACCATATTTTTGGGTGAATGCTAAATTTAATTTTCATTTACCTCTTGAAAACATTTAATAATAAATTCATTTATAATATGAGTTATTCTTAGTTGTTGAAGTTATAAATAGGAATAAATCTCATTATTCAATTTATTGAAAATAAAAATAATAAGGAGGATTAAAATTCAAGAGATGGATATATTACTGATATAATATTAATTAGAGAGATAATTTAATATGAAAGTAACAATAAAAATAATTTAAACATTTTTTTTCATTATGTTAATAATTTTTTCGATGTTAACTCAACATTTTGTGGAATTCAAAATCTTTTTATATTTATTTAGCAATAAAAATAAGAAAATATTGATATTAAACTGAGAATAAAATTTTAAATAATAGTATGATTGGCATATCAATATGTGGTGATTAAAAAGTACTTTTGATGAAGAATGTAATGATGGTAATCTTATTCCTTTTTATGGATGTTTTAATTGTTATTATTAATATGTATAATAATGCTGATTTTATTTAAAGGAGAATGTTTGTTAGTTTTGAATTAATAAAGGATATTCAAATTACCAAACTTCCTATTGTAAACGATTTATGTTCTAGATTATATGATAATTAAAATTAATGTCTAATAAATTGTGAAATTTGTATTTAAGGATATTGTTTATAATGTAAGTTAAGATTTTATTTAAATTCTATAAGTAATTTATGCTAATCTATATGCGAAAATTTAATTATTTAAGGAATAACAAAAATGTGATTAATGTAATAATAATAATTATAATGGTTGTTCAAATTGTTAATTAATTTAATATTAAATTCTAGATATGTAAAAAACATGTTAAATTTTTCGATGGATTTATTTTAGAAAATGATTAATAAATTTGTGAAGATGGATCAATCAATAAAGAGTAAGAATAATGTGATAATCCAAATGAGAAAGGATTTTTTAATTGTTAAATTTAAAATGGTTATGTGTTTTCTGATCTACACTATTCATTTTGTCAAACATGTGATGATCATTGTATAATTTATTAAAGTATTAATAAATCTGATCTAATATGCAATGATTGTTAACTCGGTTATTATCCTTTTGAAGATAGTTTTAAAGTATTAATCAAACTTATGTACATCATGTTATAGATCTGATTGTGAACTATGTGAATCTATCCCTGGTTTATATACTGACAATTTAAAATAAAATTTGCATTACTTAATATGGTGATGACATCTTGATCAAAAAATAAAAAGAATGTGAAGATGGAAATTTAGATAATGAAGCTGGGTGTGTAATTAATGTAAATTGAATTTTCTTAGAATTTCTTTGATAATCTAGAAATTTTGAAAATATGATGGTAATCATAAGTATGATCTTTAACTTAACAATATATAAAAGGAATTTGTANTTATTCCTTTTTATGGATGTTTTAATTGTTATTATTAATATGTATAATAATGCTGATTTTATTTAAAGGAGAATGTTTGTTAGTTTTGAATTAATAAAGGATATTCAAATTACCAAACTTCCTATTGTAAACGATTTATGTTCTAGATTATATGATAATTAAAATTAATGTCTAATAAATTGTGAAATTTGTATTTAAGGATATTGTTTATAATGTAAGTTAAGATTTTATTTAAATTCTATAAGTAATTTATGCTAATCTATATGCGAAAATTTAATTATTTAAGGAATAACAAAAATGTGATTAATGTAATAATAATAATTATAATGGTTGTTCAAATTGTTAATTAATTTAATATTAAATTCTAGATATGTAAAAAACATGTTAAATTTTTCGATGGATTTATTTTAGAAAATGATTAATAAATTTGTGAAGATGGATCAATCAATAAAGAGTAAGAATAATGTGATAATCCAAATGAGAAAGGATTTTTTAATTGTTAAATTTAAAATGGTTATGTGTTTTCTGATCTACACTATTCATTTTGTCAAACATGTGATGATCATTGTATAATTTATTAAAGTATTAATAAATCTGATCTAATATGCAATGATTGTTAACTCGGTTATTATCCTTTTGAAGATAGTTTTAAAGTATTAATCAAACTTATGTACATCATGTTATAGATCTGATTGTGAACTATGTGAATCTATCCCTGGTTTATATACTGACAATTTAAAATAAAATTTGCATTACTTAATATGGTGATGACATCTTGATCAAAAAATAAAAAGAATGTGAAGATGGAAATTTAGATAATGAAGCTGGGTGTGTAATTAATGTAAATTGAATTTTCTTAGAATTTCTTTGATAATCTAGAAATTTTGAAAATATGATGGTAATCATAAGTATGATCTTTAACTTAACAATATATAAAAGGAATTTGTATTACTACGTCAAAATCCTATATTAACTATTGAATTTTTCATAGAAATTAATTTTCTACAATTTATTTACATGATATTTAAAACAAACAGAAATTAATATGAAAAATACAAAAATAAAAAGAAATTCTTTATATTTTTTAATTGTTGAAATATTAGTATGCTTTAATCAATCAGAAATCTATCAATTGATTAAACTGAATTTAATTTGTAAGATAATCCACAAGTAATAGAAATTATGTGAGCCGATACAATTAAATTACAACCATTTGTGTCAACCTAATTTTCAATTTATCCATATTTTTCATAACCTATTCCATAAATAAAAGATATAACTCCATAATTTGAATTTCTAATTATTTAATCTTTAAATGCAATTAGATATTGATATCAATTTAGGCTTAATCAATTGAGTGTAGACCTGAAGCACCATGGATAAGAAGAAATGAAAGTGGTGTTTTATTCACAAATAATTTTTTTTTCATGAAAATTTAAATCATTTAATCTCTATATGAGTTCTACATTAGTGTTTATCCTAATTATCACTCTCTTTAATCCAACTTTAGCATACATCAAATATGATTCTGGATATTTCACATAGATGGATTATCGTGTTGATGGATTTGACTGTTTGAATTCATTTTCTAAATCATACACTATTCCTTTTACAGGAAATTTTCAGAATATCCCTTAGGTATTTTTGATCTTGGAAATAATCGATATGCATTGGGGTTCTTCAGAATTCTAAATGTCCATCACAAGCATTACTTTGATAAGTAAGTGTTAAATTTATTTTAGACTTTGATGTTTTCATTAAATGTACCACTCAAGAAATCTTCACCGTCTGTTTCACATGGTATGCTATTGATGATAACAGAATCCAAGTTATTAATAGTTTTAATTTAGCAGATCCTCCTACAAGTAAGATTTTCAATCATTAATTGTCTAATGCAGTATCTGCAATTGTTAGTCCAATAAGTCTATCATTAATTGGCCAACTTGATTTTGTTGCTTCTGTAATATTAATTTAGTTACAATAGGTATCATAACTTACTTCAGCAACAGTTACAATTTCTATTAGTTATGTTGCAGGAAAATTTGAAAACCTAAAATAATTAGGTTACTAAATTATTTTAGGAACTGATCAAATGTTAAATATTATTGAAACTAAAGTTATCACATCAATTTACACTAGTGGAGAATTTGCAAGATAAAAAAATAGTTGGCTTTTGGTACCAGTTGTAGGCTTACAATATTCAATTACTGTATATAATCTTAAGATCACAAAATCATATACATAAACAATATCTACAGCATCTTTTTCGGTTTTTGAAGGGACTATGTGTCCTAATACATTTTAAAAAGTCTGGCTAGCATACATTTTATATAGAGCAATGGAATGTTAAGGTATGAGAATTTCATCCAAGTTTGATTGTGAAGCATCGGCTAGAGGGCCTTTTTATATATAAATTGAAGAAACAAATTAAATTTTCAATTCTATTGGTGTATTTTCAACTACTATTAGTTCAATTTATACATCTCTCCAAATAAATATTATTGCTAAATGTTAAAATGACAAAAACATGTCAAGCAAGTTTCACAAATGCAATAGCTGTGCTTCTAATTAAAAAACTTATTTGTTGAATCATTATTGCATTCCAAATATTAATTAAATCTCATATTTTACTAGATTTAACATCGTTGAATCGGTTAATTAACAACTTTCTATCACTATTACTGATACAAGTTGCTTGATTGAATAGCTACTCGATAATTCATAAGTTCCAATAGTTAACATTGTTGATGTTTAATTAGTCCAGTTTTGAAAAATACATTAACATTTTGAATTTTTTAGTTTTCTAAATTACAAAATTTTAAATTGCATTTAATTTCAATTTTAACATCTATCTATTCTTATTATTTTATTTAATTAAAGGGTAAAGAATGTTAATTTGTTTAAATAAAATATCTGAATCACAATTTTTTGGCATATATCGATTAATAATAATTTTTAAAATTCAATATGAAATTTAGATTATAAATTATTATTTAAAATAAATATAATTTTAAAAATTAAATATAAAATATAAATTTATAGTTATTTTATAAAACAAAATAAAAAGAATAAATTATAAATAAATTTTTAAACATAAGATGAAAAATACATTATTAATAATTTCTTGAAACAAAATATAAAGTAATTTTCTAAATTACATCTGAAAAAAAGATTATTATATATAATTATATATAATAAATAAGATACCATTTCTAGGGTATTATAATTAAAGAGTATATTTTGTATGATTAAAATGCTATTAATTAATTTAGATAATGGGCTTTAATTTAAATTAGATCACTGACACCTTTGAAAAATACATATTATCAATTGTTCAACAATAAAATTTAGATTTAATCTATGTACTTTATTTTAAATTTTTTTTGTCATTAAAAAGTTTTAATGAAAGGTTTTTTGTAGACTAATTGTTTAAATATAATCAAAAGTCATGTAATTAATAAATGAAAGTGATACCTTAATTAATTTATTGCTTGTCTGTTAGATTGAAGCATGATATTATTCAGCAAAAATTCAATGAAATGAATGTAGAATGATTTTTTTATTTTTTATTATAGATTTTATAATTATTTTCATATAAGCATGAAATAAAATTTAGTAAATTATAGGAAAAGAATATCACAAATTGTTTCTTCTACTTTTTTTTAAGAATAAAAGGTCCTAGAAAAAGACGAGTAACCACCACATATGATTAAAAACAGAATAAAATCTTTGCATCTACCCGAATTATAATAATTGATGGATAATTCTATTGAATTAGATTTTAGTGGGCGTAAAACAGCGTAAATAAATCAAACAAATAATATCAGTGTTTTTTAATAAGTCGAATAAACAAATGAAGGATCACTGAAGAAATCTTTAGTTTTATCTAGAAATTCTTCACCAAGAAATCGTAGGCCACAAAGAAGAGGTACTCTTTTTTTGATAGATGACAATTAATAAAAGAAATATGAATTATGGGCAAATAAGTTAAGAAAGAGAACAACAGATAATTTTATCAATATAATTTTGAATCATTATATTGAACTACTTGCTTCAATGTAAATGAAAAATTACAAATATTTGATTGATATATATTGTGATATTGGAGAATAATTATTATAAAGTCCAATTATATTGATTCGATTTACTCTTTTTATTGGATCATACTTTTTAGAGATGAATGATTTTAATAAAAGCAGTTTCCTATCTAAACAATTGTTTATAATTAGTAAAATGTTATCTTTATATAAAGAGAGATCTAGAATCATGCTATTTATTTCTAAGATTTGTTAGTAAGGATAATAATATGAATAATCTTTATAAATATTAGAAGATGGATTAATTTATAGTTGGTTGAGTAATGGATAAGAAGAAGAGGCTCAAATATATGAATCAATGGGGATTTCATTATTTTATATGTAATAATAGAAGAAAGCCAGAATATTTCATTTTAAATATGTAAATGGACATTTAGAACCACATAATTCATAGTTAAGAATTTCAATCATATAATAATTATAATTATAAGAAAGATTATTAAAATAGAAAGGAGAGAAATAAGATGATATAAATGAAGCAGTAATTAATAGATTATAATTTCCATTTTTGAAGAGAGAAAGGAATAAATTAATTAAGAAGATTGATATATCTTTATTTGAAGAAAATATAAAATACGTGATAAATGAATTGAGTTCAATAATGAATTATGAGAGTATATTAATGAGGGATATTTAAAATCAATAACCAAAAATGAAATTACGAGATTTAGGAACAATTACTGAAAAGTTTTTAGAGTTGAAAAGAAAGAATATTAGACTTTAATGGAAATAAAGAGAAAGAATTAAAAGCTTTACTATTGATAATAATATAAATGAATATCTTACATAAAGAAAAAAGTCTATTGTAGATTGTTAAGTTTTATTTAAAAAAATACATGATGATATTGGATATAAGAAAGACAAAGAATTAGAGCCTATTCTTATTAATTATAGCCAAAAGAAATAATTGATTTTANTAAAACAGCGTAAATAAATCAAACAAATAATATCAGTGTTTTTTAATAAGTCGAATAAACAAATGAAGGATCACTGAAGAAATCTTTAGTTTTATCTAGAAATTCTTCACCAAGAAATCGTAGGCCACAAAGAAGAGGTACTCTTTTTTTGATAGATGACAATTAATAAAAGAAATATGAATTATGGGCAAATAAGTTAAGAAAGAGAACAACAGATAATTTTATCAATATAATTTTGAATCATTATATTGAACTACTTGCTTCAATGTAAATGAAAAATTACAAATATTTGATTGATATATATTGTGATATTGGAGAATAATTATTATAAAGTCCAATTATATTGATTCGATTTACTCTTTTTATTGGATCATACTTTTTAGAGATGAATGATTTTAATAAAAGCAGTTTCCTATCTAAACAATTGTTTATAATTAGTAAAATGTTATCTTTATATAAAGAGAGATCTAGAATCATGCTATTTATTTCTAAGATTTGTTAGTAAGGATAATAATATGAATAATCTTTATAAATATTAGAAGATGGATTAATTTATAGTTGGTTGAGTAATGGATAAGAAGAAGAGGCTCAAATATATGAATCAATGGGGATTTCATTATTTTATATGTAATAATAGAAGAAAGCCAGAATATTTCATTTTAAATATGTAAATGGACATTTAGAACCACATAATTCATAGTTAAGAATTTCAATCATATAATAATTATAATTATAAGAAAGATTATTAAAATAGAAAGGAGAGAAATAAGATGATATAAATGAAGCAGTAATTAATAGATTATAATTTCCATTTTTGAAGAGAGAAAGGAATAAATTAATTAAGAAGATTGATATATCTTTATTTGAAGAAAATATAAAATACGTGATAAATGAATTGAGTTCAATAATGAATTATGAGAGTATATTAATGAGGGATATTTAAAATCAATAACCAAAAATGAAATTACGAGATTTAGGAACAATTACTGAAAAGTTTTTAGAGTTGAAAAGAAAGAATATTAGACTTTAATGGAAATAAAGAGAAAGAATTAAAAGCTTTACTATTGATAATAATATAAATGAATATCTTACATAAAGAAAAAAGTCTATTGTAGATTGTTAAGTTTTATTTAAAAAAATACATGATGATATTGGATATAAGAAAGACAAAGAATTAGAGCCTATTCTTATTAATTATAGCCAAAAGAAATAATTGATTTTATATATAAGAAAAGTATTTGAATAATAATTATTTGATTGATGAATGTTTTAGAATAAGTGGAAATAACTATCAAAACATATTGCTATGCAATAATGAAAGAGACTATGTCTTAATTCATCTGTTCTGGATTAGTCTATAAACTATTTGTGTTTGTTGAATTAATGCAAAATGTAAATATAATGTTATATTTGAATAGATCTATTTTGTAATGCATCCGATATTATAATTTGAAATAGACATAGTATTTGTTCAGTATTTTAAATAAGCAATTCAATATTCATAATTGACATATATTTTGGATGCCATGGATTAAAATTAATCGATAATATTATTATATACAGCATTTGGAATATAAATAATTTTATTATGTTTAATAGGGCTTGGTGTGAACTTTGTGAAGTAGAAGGTATAAATTTAAATTATGAATAGAAAAAAATAACAACAATCACTTCTTATTCATTCAAAGCAATTAGTTTTTATGCATTAATTTTGAATACTTTTCTTCATGTTTGTTTCATAAACATTTTTTTAGTGTTTGTGATTTGTTATGGAGACTCACAATATAGTTCTGATGTAGAATGTTATACAGGTGTGTATATTCTTCATACAGTAATGGCTGGATTAGGATTATTTATGTATTTTTTAATTCAGTATTACTTTTCAACTTTTTATATTGATTTAAAGTAAATAATAATAATTATTTGTTATAGGCCATTTTCTGATGTACCTTTTGCATAACCATAAAGTAGATATGATTATTTAAAGATCTTATTTAAATTTGCAATTCTGCTATTCATAACTATTGATTATAAGGGTTAGAATGCTTACACTTATATAATCTTCTTACTTGTTTTATATTTAATTTTGTTAATGTTTAGAATTTATGAACCATAGCATTTCCAACTTGATATTTATAACTTTTTAATTGGCTGTGATGTTATTCAATTTAGTTTGGCATTTTCATATACTCTCCATAAATTTTTGGATGATGGTAGTCCTGATAATGTAGGATTTTATTTCATTTTGGCATCAATTCCATTTATTTATTATTGTGCAATATAAATTAGTCATAAGAAGAATATTTATTATTAAGTTAAAGGTATCAAGAAATTAGGTGATCCAAATTAACATGAATAATTAATTAATTAACTAATATATATTATAGATAGAAGAGATAATCTCTAAAATTATTTACTTTTAGAAGGAATATTAGTATAACATATGGAGACATGTTAAAATACTAATTGTTAATGTTAATATTTAAGTGAATCAAAATCTAAAGAATTAGATGACTTAGTATGGTACAAATTTATTATTTAAATGATTGATTTGTCAATTACTAAATTTCCAAAGAGTTGTAAATTACATTTATTGCAATCATATATTTACAATAACAAATTAAATAATAAATTTAAATGTTATTATTCTCTTTAACATATTAAATCTTTAGAAACATCATTAAAAGAAGAGTTTCAATCATATAGAGATTTACATATGCTTGAAGAGATTATGTAAGAAGAAGATTAAAAAGCAGAAATTATTATTGATGTTCTTTAAGTTGTTAAATTTTAGAAATATTTTGGATAATTCCAAAATCTTTTAGAAGAATCAGTAAAAAGACATTATGAATTTTGGTGTGAATTATAAGAAAATAATCCAGATATTTAAAAGTTATTTACATTAGGTAGTTAAATTACTTAATCAGTTGAGGATGTAAAGGTTTTGTATGATAAATTAATGGATATTAATCCAAATCATATAAATACTTTAAGAATATTTGGTTAATTTCAAAATGAAGTAATCAATGCAGATAATTTGGGTTAAAGAATACTTGAAAAAGCTACTTAAATAGAGAATGCATAATTAGCATATTCAAATGAAACATAAACAGAGAAATATGGTGAAAATAGTAATACTTGTATTATGACATGTTCAGCTGAAACTAAATCTTTAGGATTGATATAAAGTTGTAATAAGGAAATTGAAAAATTAGGATATCATAAATATGAAATAATCAATTAATTTATAACTCGAATAATGCCTAAATGTTATGCTGATAACCATGATAAATTTATGTCTAAGTATTTAGAAACAAATGAAAGTAAAATAGTAGGAAAAGAGAGAACAGTTTATTGTTAACATAAGAATGGATCAATAGTACCTTGTTTATTGATGTTCAAAATTCTACCATAATTAAAAAAGGGTTTAAGAATGGTAAATTTCTTTAAGGTTTTGGAGAATTATGATTCTCATTATTATATCTTATTTAATCCAACAACATTTTTAATATATGGTTTAAGTCAGAATTGTTAAGATTCATTTGGTATACCAGTAAATTTTGCATATGGTAACAATGGTCATTCAAATGATTTTACAATGGAAATTTTAATATTAGATTTCAATCATTTAGTTGAGAAATTGAAAATTTCATAAGAAAATACTTAAACAGCATTTCCACTTTAATTAGATACAACAAAATTATAAAAATAATTTATAATGGAAGATTCTGTTGATCGATTATCTTTATTAGAAGAAGGTGAGATTAATAATAATAATAATAATTTATTGAATCAGAATGCAACATCTGAAAATTTGAAATCTTCAATTAAAAAGGAATCTTTATTCAAAGTATACAAGATTAGTTGTATAGTTGAGAAATAATAACATACTGATTTAGAAGTGGCTATTTTAAAGTTTAGTGAAGCAACAGCATTTTAAGAAGCATCTAAAAGTGGAAATTATTATTAGAGTGAGATAAAATTAAAATCTAAATAAACAAAATATTCTTCATCTGCTACAAAAAAGAAAGCTGATTAATAAGTTAATGAGGATTATTTAAATGAAGATAGATCATCTGTAAATTCAGTTTAATCTAGTTTAAATGATGATATGCGTAGATTAAAAGATTTCAAAGCTTTGATGAGTGAAAAGAAAGTACCTAGAAATATAAGAACAATATAAATTACTATGTTATCATTAACATTAATATTATTGACTGTGTCTATAATAGATTTAGTATTAAAAGGAATATAAAATACTTCTTTTAAATTTTCTTCTTAGATTATGTCAGATGTTTATTCAAGATATAATTAGATGTCAACAATAACTTTGCATTCAAGAATATTAGAGATGATTGGTACAGGTGAATATAATAATAGTAATGGATATACAGCATAATTTTTAAGAGAAGATGTAAATGTAATATAATTATGATAGTTGTTAATTAGATTGAAATTAGTATAATAGTTACAATTTGATACTCTGAAAGTGAAGAATGAATTAGCAAAATCTGATGTTTAAGTACCTACTGCATATTTTTACAATTTTACATCACTTTTAATAGATAATTCTTTAAAAGACACAGAATTAACTTTGGTAGATGCTATAAGAGAAGCTCTGAGTCATTTAGTAATAATGATTGGAACAGATTTAAAGAATTTTAATAGTAGTGATTATATTACTCCAGCTATGTAATCTTTTTTTTATATTAATTATAATGGATTAAGAAATATTAGATTAGGATTAGAATAAAGAGTAGAATAATTTTACAATTTTTTTTAAGATTTGGTTTCTAATAAATTTGGTACATTTTTAACTTTGATGATTATAAGTATTATAATTCTTATTATTACTCATGCCATAGTAATACCAATTCTATTAAAAGTAGATAAAGCTAATAATAAAGTATTGAGTATGTTTGGTTTAGTATAATATATATATATTTAAAATATTAGATACCACCCTTAGAAATTAAAGAATTGTCTGATAAATGTGAGAAATTCTTAAAGGAGTACATTGAAGATTTTAATGAGAAAAAAGAACTTGAAAATAGATTGAATAATAAAAACTAAGATGATAATAAAAAATAATAATAATAATAATAAGATAAACATTATATTGAAATGAATAATGAGGAACATATAGATGAAAAATAGAGAGAATAAATGGAAAAGCAAAAAGAACTCTAAAGAATAGAAGACGAAGAAAAAGAAAGATTAAGATAAGAAAAAATGGAAGAAGATAAAAGAAAGAAATAAGAAGAAGAAAATAAATAAAAAAGATATATGAGACATAAAAAGAAGAAGAAACATAAATATAATGTATAAGAAATAGAATTAACAGAAGATGAAAGAACACGTATAGAGAAATTAGAAAGATCTAATGAAAAAAATGATTCTTCTGCTCTTATCAAGTTCATGTTGTTCTTTATTTTATTTACTGGATTTTTTATTACCTAATTAGTTCTTGAAGTAATCTATTTAAATAATGTGTCCTTTTTATTTGAACATTTAAAATTGTCTCATTAAAGATATTATATCATGATGTATAGAGTATTATATGGAGTTGAAGATATCATCTAAGAAAAATAAATTATTATTGATAATGTTTGGATGCAATAATTATATCATACATAAATTTATGATGCAGAAAGAGATGTATTTGAATCTTATAAATCAGTAATTATTATTTATAATATTTTTTAGTTTTCATTAACTGGTTATGATACATATAAATAATATTATGATTGGTTTAACTTTAATGATATGTGTTCTAATGTTACGATTATGAATCTATTGAATAAGGATGTTAATGAACCAGGTTGTCGCTAAGTTTAAAATGGTATATTAGAAAAAGGATTAAGAACATCTGTTATTAATTTAGCACTTTATTCAAATGATTCATTAAAAATAACTGGTAATAATACAAAATATAGTATTATAAATGGAAATACATTCTAAATAATTAATGATATTGTTAAGTATATCAGACCTGCATTCAATACTTTAAATGAAGTTTATATAACTGATTCACATGATTACATTAATTATGCTTAAAGCATAGAGATTGTTAAATTTGTCGTATTGATTATTGCATGGATAATCTTATTTTTTGTAATATGGATGCCTTATTTGACTAAGTTAAGTATATAGATCTGGTAGACAAAAGGAATGCTTAATATGATACCTATGTCGATTATTTAAAAGAATGAGAAATTAAAATTCAGATTCTTATAAGATAATATAATGACTATGGTACAATGAATATTAATTTATAAATTAATTACTCTTGTTAATTATATTAATTATAACTATGATATTGTTCATCATCTTTGCCTCATGGATTATATTTTTCATCTCTGTACTACTTACAATCAACCATAGAAATGTTTATCAATACACAAATACATGACAATCAAATTAATAAATACTCCATCTAATTAACACAATCATTAAATATTGAATATATACATACATAACATACAAATTCATTCAATAGTAAATTCAGTTGAATTTTTATGATATGACTCACTTACTAATTGATACTTTGCTTTTAGTTTGTAAAAGAATACACAAAATATAATCATTGTCATAAAAGTCATTGCAAATCCTATTGTTAAACCCACATACAATCCAACATTCCCATTCTCAAATATTTCAAAATACACGTTAATTTCTACTAATTAATTATGATATGCTTTTGTCTCATTAATAAAATAACCAACCCTTAATTCCATCATATATGTTCCAGTTGAATAATTCTAATTTGGTTCACATACCAATTATGCTGACTATGGCTTTATTTCATACTAAACTATTTCATTTTATTATTGCACTATTAATTTAGCCTAATCATATTTTAAAATCTTATTAGTATTCTCCAATATATTCTTACTAAATAATTACTACGTCTCTATCTTAGCAAACGCCAACTGAATCAAGTTCTCCTATAATATTATTATGTACTATTAATTAATTAATATATATATATATACATTTTAAGTAGAAAATATTTAACGAACCTTAGTTGTTAAACTAAGATTCTATTTTAATTAACCTTCTTCATATTCTAAAACATACTATAAATTTAATTTATTATTAAGCTTCTAAATTACATATGTCAATTTCTCATAGATTTCTACATCTATTATTTTACCATCCAACCTAAAAAGAGAATTAAATTAAATTGGTTTTAATTATGCATCTAATTATACATAACCTAAACTTGATTCTGAGATCCATATAATATGATTTGGACTTTTTAATTTTATTCCAACAATATTTAAATTTTAAGTTTCATATTTAGATAAGTTAATTGATTGAATCTACTCAACATGTTTATCTTATATTAAATAAATTTCCAAAGTATTATTTCCAAATACATATATTAAATTATCATAATATAATATCTATGTAACTACATCTATTTATGTTGCCAATTCTATTGGTTTGTTTGGTTCATCATTTTAATCAATATTTATTATGAATAAGTTTAAACCATCAAGAATTATTAATTTATAGTCTTATGAAATATTTATCGTAATCAATATTTCTGACAAATTTTATGAAATTTATAATAAAGTTTCACTAAAAAAAGTAAATCCTTATTCATCATTCATCTCTAATACTTTTAAATAACCAGGCAATATACTATAAATCTATTTTTTAGCATTAAATTTACTTTATTATTTTGAATTATTATTTAACATTAGTCTGCACATACATTTATAGATTGAATCTACTCTAAATATATTGATGGATTCTTAGGTTAACAGAAATCAGCAAACAATAATGATGGATCTGCACCTTCTTTAGTTTCATTTAATGTTTTATTTAAATGATGTATTTCAACATTAAATACATTCTCTATTCGAACTTATATATTTGATATTCTTCCATGAATTATTGAATATCTCTTAACCTCCTCTTCTTGAATTTACTTTGTTAATATACCATTTAGTAAAATGAATTAAATCAAAAACATTTAATATTATAATCTTAAACAAAAAAAATTAGAATACATTAATATTAATTATTTTATCTTATTTATTTACAGTTCATACTATTTATAGATTTATTTCAATCATTTTTCCCTAATTCAGATTCATTATTTAACTTCCAAGTAATTCTATTTTTGCTTATTTTTTAAATAATTCATCAGAGTTAAAGTGAAAATAAAGAGTTTCTTTATCAATTTTTGTTCTTTTATGAATTAATTTATTTAATTTATAAATACCTAATACTGTTTAAAAAATTCAATTCTATAAAAATAAGAAATAATAGAAAATCATATCCTAGTACGTAAATTAAAAATTCTTTATCTTTTTTTAAAACCTTTCTATATATTCTTATTAAATTTATAATTTAACTATTTAAATAAATTTAAATACGCTATTTTAATAAATATTTATTGATTCATATCTGTAACATTTGATAAACTAATAATTTTATTTTTGTCTTAAGAAGTATAAATTGATTCAATAAGGAATTATCAACTATAAAATAGAAAGATCAAGAATTAATATCTTATGAGTGGGTGTCATAATTTAATATAAAAATAGAGAATACACAATTCAATTATTGTAATATTCTAATAATATAAATATTATATAATTTTGTATTCGTTATAAATAAATAATTATGATATATAATATTATAATTCAAACATAATTCATCACACAATTTTTCAAACCTAATTCAGCTTATTTAATAATTGTTAGTATCCTCTTTTCTTATAAACTCAATTTTCTGGTTTTTCTTTATTTAAATGATGATGTTCGTTTAGGTTTGATTAATTATTCTTATGGGAAATTATTAATTCTTATAGATCTTAATTTTTATATACTTTCTTCAATATCAATTTCAGCCTCATCATTATTATCTCTAGGTACAAATTGACTTTTATGATATTAATCTTTTTAATCTTATCTTGATAATGCTTTCATTAATTAAGATTATGAATGTTATCTCATATTTTTAACTTAATTCATTCTATTTCTTTTAGTTTAAAGTGGAGATGGAGAACATTGAATTTATTACGATGGAATTTATAATGAAAAAATAGTAGATGGATCATTCTTTTATTTAATCGAAGAAACAAATGGATTCAGTAGAATAGCTTTTCTAACTCTAGATAATTACATTTTTTTTTATTAAACTCTGCTTTCCTTTTCCTATTATATTGATTTCAATTTAATATCTGCATTGAGATTTATACTTAATATGATTTCGTCTACATTTCCTTTAGTAACATAATATTCAAATTATTTAACTTAATCAATATCAAAATGTTCTGAATCTATAAAATTATTATCTATTTTTTATTATTATGGTTTTAATAACATACTTTATCTACCTAACAAATGTAATTTCATTAATTTTTAATGTAACTTCTTCAATGCTCTTAAATGTGTTTAATCTCTTAAATATTTATAAGAATGTTTATGTTTAATTTTATATCTAGGTTTAGTACATAATTATTGATTAGGTTTTAAAAATAAAGCTTATTTATTAATAATAAGATGTGCCATAGGACAATATAAAGCTAAATGAAATTCTTAACAAATATAACATCTAATATCAAGTACAGAATAATCTTATTCAATTTCAAGATAATATTTAATTTGATGATATTTTTCAAGATCATTTTATAATTATCTAATGATCATAAGGAATGGTTCTTTTTTTAACACTAATAAATTAACAAAATCTTCAGTTATAATAGTTGCACTCCTAGTTTATTCTGAGAATAGACATAATTCTCCAAAGATTTCATCTTTTCCAAGATTAGTGATTTTAGTTTATAGATACTTGACTTAAATAGAACCATTTACTATACAATACATTTCATCTCCTAATTATCCTTATTCAAATATAATTTCTTCAGGTCCAAATACCTTCTCTTATAATCTATATGCAATATTACTTAATAGATCTTTTGAGAATGTTTCAAAAAATGGTATTTTTTCAATTATTTTACTATTAATTAAACATATAACTTCACTTTTTAAATTAGCCGATAAACTATCTATAACAGTAGATTCATGTTATTAAGATTTAGCATATGAAATCTATAACCATTCTAAATAACTAGTAACTCTAGATGTTAATGATACATCTATTTTCTTTCTTTTTAAATAACTTTTAATATTCTATTCTCTTTCAATAAATTTATCATATTGATTACTAAATAATTCCATTACTATATTTGTTGTATAACCAAATACAGCTGATGCCAATAACATTAAAAATATTGCATATATCATCTCTTAGTATTAATAAGCATGAACATCACCATATCCAACTGTTATCATTGTTGTCATACTATAATATATAGATGTCATATATTTCACTGTCCAATCACTATCTTATATTTTATATTAAGCAGCCCAATTTTAATCTCCTCCATCTATAAATAAATTCCATAAACAAGCACACCAATGAGCTATGCAAAGAATTAATATTATTAATTTCAACATTTATGTAAATTAAAATAATGATTCCATCACACTAATATATTCTTCTATTCTCCCAAATATTTTCTTTAATTTAAGTGCTCTCAATAAACGAATTACTTTTATAAATTTTATAAATCTTAATAATTTTATTACTTAAGCTTTTGTTTACATTTCAGGTGAATCGAAAATTATATCATAGGGAAATGAACTAATTATATCTATCCAAAACCATAATTTCAAATATTCCTTCACAATGACAATTCGATCTTAAACGAGATTTCCATGAAGGTATATTGCTGTGTTGAATTAAATAAGAATGTCAAAATAGAAACTGCCATTGACAATCCAATCATAAATAGTGATTCCAAGATTATCAATATCAAATGATAATACTAAAGGGACCAATAGCATTTGACTAAATATTAATATCATAATATAAATGTTCCAAATGACTAAAACAAAGTCTGTAGGTAATCTTACCTTAACAATTTTTTTAATAGCATCTAGATTTTAGACAGTTTCAATCATTTTAGATTCTTCACTTTAATTAGGTGGTTGTTCTTATTAAATAAATTATTCCTCTTATTCAGGGAGGTTCTGTATGAAATACTAGTTTCGCATAAAGACTGAGTTCACAGTTGCTATGTAGTATAGTCTCTTTCTTTATTGATAATGTTTGCGAGATTCAATTCTTGAATTGTCAGCTAACTCTTGCATTGAGTACATTACCGATCATTTAACTCCATTCAGTTCTGATANATTTTACTATTAATTAAACATATAACTTCACTTTTTAAATTAGCCGATAAACTATCTATAACAGTAGATTCATGTTATTAAGATTTAGCATATGAAATCTATAACCATTCTAAATAACTAGTAACTCTAGATGTTAATGATACATCTATTTTCTTTCTTTTTAAATAACTTTTAATATTCTATTCTCTTTCAATAAATTTATCATATTGATTACTAAATAATTCCATTACTATATTTGTTGTATAACCAAATACAGCTGATGCCAATAACATTAAAAATATTGCATATATCATCTCTTAGTATTAATAAGCATGAACATCACCATATCCAACTGTTATCATTGTTGTCATACTATAATATATAGATGTCATATATTTCACTGTCCAATCACTATCTTATATTTTATATTAAGCAGCCCAATTTTAATCTCCTCCATCTATAAATAAATTCCATAAACAAGCACACCAATGAGCTATGCAAAGAATTAATATTATTAATTTCAACATTTATGTAAATTAAAATAATGATTCCATCACACTAATATATTCTTCTATTCTCCCAAATATTTTCTTTAATTTAAGTGCTCTCAATAAACGAATTACTTTTATAAATTTTATAAATCTTAATAATTTTATTACTTAAGCTTTTGTTTACATTTCAGGTGAATCGAAAATTATATCATAGGGAAATGAACTAATTATATCTATCCAAAACCATAATTTCAAATATTCCTTCACAATGACAATTCGATCTTAAACGAGATTTCCATGAAGGTATATTGCTGTGTTGAATTAAATAAGAATGTCAAAATAGAAACTGCCATTGACAATCCAATCATAAATAGTGATTCCAAGATTATCAATATCAAATGATAATACTAAAGGGACCAATAGCATTTGACTAAATATTAATATCATAATATAAATGTTCCAAATGACTAAAACAAAGTCTGTAGGTAATCTTACCTTAACAATTTTTTTAATAGCATCTAGATTTTAGACAGTTTCAATCATTTTAGATTCTTCACTTTAATTAGGTGGTTGTTCTTATTAAATAAATTATTCCTCTTATTCAGGGAGGTTCTGTATGAAATACTAGTTTCGCATAAAGACTGAGTTCACAGTTGCTATGTAGTATAGTCTCTTTCTTTATTGATAATGTTTGCGAGATTCAATTCTTGAATTGTCAGCTAACTCTTGCATTGAGTACATTACCGATCATTTAACTCCATTCAGTTCTGATAGTAATATCAACATCTGGTTATGGTTTGCGTTTCATAATGGTTTTCAATTTAGAGAATAGATTCAGTTTAATATACTTTCCACTTGATTTATTCATTAAATATAAAAATAAGTAATAAAATCAATTTGGTTTAACTTTCTATTTTTTATTTCCAAAGTAGAGCAAGAGGAAAGTAATGATAATAAAAATAGCTATATCTATGATGACTAGAATAATAAATATATTTTAGATTTAATTTTTTGTGAAATCTAAAATAACAATTTTACCGAATTCTTTGACATTAAAAACAGTAATAAAATAAAGAAATGCTGGTGTAAAAAAGAACAATTCAATGCTCTTCATAATAAAATTTTAAACTTAAAAAAATCCATTACTTTATTTTCTTAATTATAGAAATGAGAATTCAGGAGGTATAAATATTAAATAAGTCTTCAACCAGAAAAGCCATTTTTATAATCTATAAATTTCTTTAGTAATTTTAGAGAATTATTCTTCATCAGCCTTATTTCTTCTATTAATAGAATTAGTTTCTCTTTCAAGTTATCTAATTTTAACTTGGATATCTTCAAACCATTTCATATAGGTTTCATAAACCATTTTAATAGATTTATCTTTAGTTTGTTCACCTATATGTAATAATTTAGATATAGATAAACCAAATAAAATCCTAGCTAATGCAAAACCTCCCAAAGAATAAAAACAAGACCATTCATGATCAATACTGTATAAAATAGTTTAATAAATAGTAATACTAAAGCATAATATCCTAAATACAATGCTTAAAAATATATAGATATTGAATGCTAATCTATATATTCCTTTTGAATTTAATAATCTTATTAAAATAGCTGATGTGTCTAAACTACATCTTTGTTTAACTTGCTTCCTTTTAGGTCGAGTTCGCTATAGAATCAATTCCAAACGATTATGAAATTGTCTGCTGTATTATTTCTTTAATAATAATGGTTATTCTATAATAATAGACCCTACAGATTCCTCTGATTTCTAGTTTATTCTTACCATAGAGGAACTATCTAAGACTATACTTCTTTATTAATTATTGCTTATTTAAATTGTACACTGGTTTCTACTCAAATGATCTGATTCATCATCAATTAATGATTTAAATAAATCACTCCCATCATCTTCTAAATCTTTGAAACTACAATATGACTTTTCTAATTCCATTTTAATAATATTTATTGTGTATAAATTATTATTATGATATTTAACTTATTATTCTATAAAAAAATATATAAACTAAATTTTTATCATATGGATACTATAGATACATTGAAATGTGCCATCATTCATTTCATTAATAAACTAAATCCACTCTTACCAGATTAATTAATCTCTATCGTCTCAGAATTTAAAGAATAGTTGAACTCAAAGACTCCTTAAGATTTGTATGACTTTGTTTAGAAAATTCCTGAACTCAAAAAAACAGATTCTTCTTCTTCTAATACATCTCCTGAACCACTCTTAAATAAAGTAGCATCACATGGATATAATCCATTATAAATTTGTTCATCCAAGGATTCAGATGATAAAAGTTAAAGTTCATATTCAACTGAAAAATATTAATAATTGAAAATAGGTATTATTAGTTTATATCATTTTTAGAAATCAATAAAAATTTCTTTCTTAAACCTACAACCAAATTTAATCCCAATACTTAAAATAAAATTTTTAAAAATGTAGATATAGAAGCAAAAGTACAAAGAGAAAATATTAAATGTAAATAAGATATATATATATATTTCATAGTGGTGGATACTTTGAAAGAAATGCCAAAAATTAATAGAATCTGTTTTGCTGAAAGAAGTGGTTTATTAAATTAAGTATCAGATGCCTTACATCAATTTAAGAAAGATTGTATTACAATTAATACTGTTTATGAGAAAAGTACTGAAATCAATACTCCTCAAACTCCAAATGATATCAGAGTAAATTAGCAGTAATATTTTTATGTAAAAAACACAATATTATATTAGTATCAACAATTTCCTTAACAATAAGTGTGTTAATTTAAAGGATATAGTGTATATTCAAAAAGAGGATATATTTAACCAATTCAATTTGACTTACAATTCTAATTGATGCAGCAACAATTTTAAAATTAATTAATTTATAAAAAATTATACTTTTGAATATGATAATATTTCAATTCTCTCTTTTTTACTTTATTTCTTTGACTAACAATATATAACCAAAGTTATATAAAATCAATTCTAGTAATTTTAATGGTAAACTATTTAACAATCCTATTTATTATTCAATCATTTCATTTGTGTTATTAATTGATTAATTATAATTTAGAATTTACAATGAATCTAATAGTAAATTCGAAATTGAAGAAATAATAAGGGCCCCAATAATTTAATGTCTATCTTAATTAATCTTATTAAAAAACAAAGAAGCAATTCCAATTATATGGCATCCAAAGTTACCTATAAATACAGAAAATAATGAAGGTCCAATATCAAATTCTTAGGTGAGTATGATCATTGAATTCATATTAATTTATTAATTACCTTTGAATATTTAATGATTAATTTTAATTGGGTTAAATGCATTATAAATGATTTTTGATATTAGTACATTATACTTAACATCAGTAAATTAGATAAGCATAAATAAAAGAGTAAATTAAATAAAATTATAGAAATAATTAAGTTAAAATATGACAGTAATATCAGATAAAATAAAAAGAATTGTAAGATAAAGGGCTTTAATCCTTCCTTGATTAAAATATCTTGGATCAATAGCACATAGTATAAATAAAAAAATGATAAGACTTAACAAGAGATCCTTTTTGAATTCAAATTCAGTTTAACCTAATAGGAAAAAGACATAAACTGTAATTTATGAGATAGCTACCATTGCAAATAATAAAGATATTTTCCATTTAGTAAAATTCTATCTTAATTTAATAAAAGTACTAAATTTGATGGCTAAAATGAGTAGAAATTAAAGTTCAATAGAAAAGAGTAAGTCTGGAATATATCCCAGAAAATGAAGTTAAATAAATATCAAGAGAGTGAATAATTAAAGAATCCGTTTAGTATTATATTCTCTGTTTAATATTATTAAGATTAATAATCCAATGAGTTAAATTGAAGGATAAAAGAAGCCAGTAGAAACAATTATAAATATTTCTTAGAATGTCCATAGAGTTCTTATGGAATAAACACTAAGCAATAATAACNTAGTGGTGGATACTTTGAAAGAAATGCCAAAAATTAATAGAATCTGTTTTGCTGAAAGAAGTGGTTTATTAAATTAAGTATCAGATGCCTTACATCAATTTAAGAAAGATTGTATTACAATTAATACTGTTTATGAGAAAAGTACTGAAATCAATACTCCTCAAACTCCAAATGATATCAGAGTAAATTAGCAGTAATATTTTTATGTAAAAAACACAATATTATATTAGTATCAACAATTTCCTTAACAATAAGTGTGTTAATTTAAAGGATATAGTGTATATTCAAAAAGAGGATATATTTAACCAATTCAATTTGACTTACAATTCTAATTGATGCAGCAACAATTTTAAAATTAATTAATTTATAAAAAATTATACTTTTGAATATGATAATATTTCAATTCTCTCTTTTTTACTTTATTTCTTTGACTAACAATATATAACCAAAGTTATATAAAATCAATTCTAGTAATTTTAATGGTAAACTATTTAACAATCCTATTTATTATTCAATCATTTCATTTGTGTTATTAATTGATTAATTATAATTTAGAATTTACAATGAATCTAATAGTAAATTCGAAATTGAAGAAATAATAAGGGCCCCAATAATTTAATGTCTATCTTAATTAATCTTATTAAAAAACAAAGAAGCAATTCCAATTATATGGCATCCAAAGTTACCTATAAATACAGAAAATAATGAAGGTCCAATATCAAATTCTTAGGTGAGTATGATCATTGAATTCATATTAATTTATTAATTACCTTTGAATATTTAATGATTAATTTTAATTGGGTTAAATGCATTATAAATGATTTTTGATATTAGTACATTATACTTAACATCAGTAAATTAGATAAGCATAAATAAAAGAGTAAATTAAATAAAATTATAGAAATAATTAAGTTAAAATATGACAGTAATATCAGATAAAATAAAAAGAATTGTAAGATAAAGGGCTTTAATCCTTCCTTGATTAAAATATCTTGGATCAATAGCACATAGTATAAATAAAAAAATGATAAGACTTAACAAGAGATCCTTTTTGAATTCAAATTCAGTTTAACCTAATAGGAAAAAGACATAAACTGTAATTTATGAGATAGCTACCATTGCAAATAATAAAGATATTTTCCATTTAGTAAAATTCTATCTTAATTTAATAAAAGTACTAAATTTGATGGCTAAAATGAGTAGAAATTAAAGTTCAATAGAAAAGAGTAAGTCTGGAATATATCCCAGAAAATGAAGTTAAATAAATATCAAGAGAGTGAATAATTAAAGAATCCGTTTAGTATTATATTCTCTGTTTAATATTATTAAGATTAATAATCCAATGAGTTAAATTGAAGGATAAAAGAAGCCAGTAGAAACAATTATAAATATTTCTTAGAATGTCCATAGAGTTCTTATGGAATAAACACTAAGCAATAATAACATTATAATTGATTAAAATATTAAATTAAACTGTAGTCCAATAATAAAGGAATCTTTCCTTGGTAATCCAACTTAAAGGTTTCTTTAAACATGAGTAACAATTTAATCAGCAGATAATTGTTTTAATTCTTAAATGAAAGAAGATGATACTTTAAATTCTTAAGTTTAAAGATACTTTATTATTTATAATTTGACAATTTCTTAATCATTTGAGATTTCTGTTTTATTAGCATTTCTAGGATAAAATTATGGAATGATTTTACCAAGATTTTAACTTGTAGGTTAATATCCTAAGAGTGAAGAGATAGTGGCTGATAAATCTGAAGGTTCATAAAATTCATAGATTTAATCATTTTGGAATAAACCATTAATATTGAATGCAAATAAAAAACCTTCACATTCAAATGATTCTGTAGAACATTAGTAATGTTTTCCTCTCTTACTTTAATCATGATCACCTAATACAATCAATAATTGATTATCTTTTAAATTATAAACCATTTCTTCCAATATTGAATTAAACATTCTTAATAATTATACTCCTTTATCATAATCTTAATATTATATTGCATGTCCTAATGCATCATATCCCATCATATGAACAATATAAAATTAATATTATGGTTAATCTTATTAAAAAGATTCTCTAAAATATTAAAATGATGAAAGATCTGCTATTTAGATATTTTCTACATTAAAAAATTAAGTGTTTTCAATATAATTGAACTCTCCTGAACTCATTCTTTACCAATCCTATTTTTTACTTGAATATAACGCTGTTTTAAATTGTTTTCTTAAAATCGAATCTTCATATGGTGCAGGATATGATTTAAATATAACATCTAGATTATTTTGCATTTATTTAATTCCATTAATAATACTTAGTATAGTAAAATCAGTTGATGGTGGTACTGCTTTAGTCTTCTATAGAAATGAATATTCTGGATAATTCTATCTTAATTCTTTTAATAGAGTAATAGTTTAGAATATTTAATGATCACTATTGTTATTTATTACATATCTATATCCTGTAGCATCCAAAAAAAACAAAATTACTTAATCATACATTGGTTATCTATATGAACTTATTTCATTTATGTCTCTTATACATGTTCTGAACCAGAATGTTGATAAAAGTATTAACAAACATCCTATCACACTTAAAATTAATTACGTATACATATTGATTCAAATCTATATTTAATTTGTTATATAAAAATTAAATCACAATTTTGATTTCATTCTCATCATTTATTTCATAACATTTTATAATAAATTCTCTTAAGACCATATTTTAAAATTGACTTTTAATTCTCTTTCTCCAGCTTTACTTAATTCCTAATTATATTATTATTATCATACACTCATCAAAGCTTCTCTCATTAATAATTTCCCATTTAATACACTATTTCTATCAACCTATTCTAATTATTCACACAACTTCTAAGCATTACTATACATCTCTTCTTTTGTCTTAAATATTCTCTATGCAAATCCATATTATATTGCATCTTTAGCTATTAATCTCTCTCCATTCACCAACAAACTAAATGCTTTACTATGTCCAAATAATCTTGGAAATGTATATGATGAAAACATCTCATGACCCTATTAATATTATTATTATTATTTATTTACCTAACCAAGTTGTATCATTGGAGCCACAAAATAGCAATCTTCTGTCACATATACTTAATCAAATAAAGCCAACATAGGAAATAAAAAACCAAATACTCCATTATGACAACATCCTATTAAACTCTTTGGAAAATGTAAAATCGCATTATTTAATTCTCGAATTAATTCCACTAATTCTGTTGCAAATTGAATTCTTTACTAAAAAAATATTGTTAATCACTTTACTTCCTCTGTTGTTAAAGTAAATAATGAAAAATTCTTCATATCGTTACCAGAACTAAACATTTTCCCATTTCCTTTAACCAATACAACATCAACCTTAAATATATATATTATTATTTACGTTATCATCTTCTGCCGCTTTCTTAAGAATTTCTATAAATTATAAATACATTCCTAAAGTGAAGCTATTTGCCTAATTGGGTCTGTTTATGGTCACCATTAAGGTTTTTGAATTTTGTTCTAAAATGAATCCATCTGGTACAATTGTTTATTCAACTACAGGCCCTAAAATTTAACTCATTTTATTTAATCAGAACTTAATCCTTTCATTTTTCTTAAATTTCATATTTAAAATGATAATTCGTCATATTGTTGACATAGTATTTTTTAATTACAGTTTACAGATTAATTAACTAACTTGTAAAAATGTAAATAGATGTGCAAATTTCACTATTAGAGAATTTCTCTTTAATTTTAAAAGCAAATTTACACTTCAACAATTAATAAATACTGGAAGACTCTCTTTTTATATTTAGTTTTTAATTTTATATCCATTTTCTTTATAAAATACTTTAAAAATATTTATTTTGAATATAATACCCCAAAAAATTATACAGGGTAATGAAAAACTTTTTATGCACATTTAATCTATTTTTCAGAAATGTATAAAAATCAAATTTAATTATCTCCCAAATTTTTTATTCTTAAGATTTAAGTTATCATTAGAATTTATAACCAAATTATTTTTGAATTTCTAATCTTTTTTACCTAATTATCGATCTTAATACAACCAAAAAGGGGATTGAATAGAAATTAAAATTAAATTAATATTACAAGCATTTTCATTAAAATTTCAAAAATATAATATAAGTTAAAGCAGAAGAATTACTATTATGGTTATTTAAAATCCTAATGATACCATTTCTTTTTTAGAATTTATTTATTTATAAAATGGTAAAAAAATTAACATAATCTTTATTATTTATATTCAATCACACTTTACTAAATTTATTATGCAATCTTAAAATAGCACAAATTGATTAAAATTTTTATCTCAAAAAACCTAATTTTTAATAATTCAATTAATTGTTTTATACATTAATTGTTGCTTATATGAATTATTTTTGATTTAGAATATAAATTCTTATTTTATGTTTTTTTGATTAATTTTAGTTTAAGAATTTGATTTTAAATTTAAAATATCAATACTTTGAAACTAACTTACTTTTTTTTTTAATTTTTTAATTTTTTATAAAACATATATACATTAGTTAACTAGAGAAAGAATGAAATAAAATTTTAATAATATAAGAATAGATAGAAGTTGAAATTGAAATTAAATTAAAGTTTAAGTTTTTTAAATTTAAGAAAATTGGAAAATTTCTAAAATATATTAATGCAAATTAAGTTTATTTCAAAATTGAACTAGTTTAACATCCACAATATTGGTATTAGAAATAACTAAATTATCAAATACCTATGCAATCAAGCAACTTGTATCAGTAATAGTGATAGAAAGTTGCTAATTAACTGATTCAACTATATTAAATCTAGTAAAATAAGAAATTTAATTTATATTCGGAATGCAATAATGATTGAAAAAATAAGTTTATTAATCAGAAGTACAGCTATTGCATTTATGAAACTTGCTCGACATGTTTTTGTCATTTTAACATTTAGCAATGATATTTATTTGGAGAGATGTATAAATTGAACTAATAGTAGTTGAAAATACACCAATAGAATTGAAAATTTAATTTGTTTCTTCAATTTATATATAAAAAGGCCCTCTAGC